GGGCGATGAGACAGAGGATGGCGCTGCAGAGAGAGCGACGAGGAGTGGGACGACTATCGACTGCGAGGCTCAGGCTGCTGGCTCCAACTCGCTGGCTCACAGCGATCAGCGTGCTCACACAGGTACAAACAAACAAATGAGGTACAAAACAAACAAATGGTGTGTGAGTGTTAGAGTTGTTTGGTATTGCTAAACATCTCTCTCAGGTACATGTACACCACGGGAGCCGCCTAAGCGCCTCCGGCCAGCGTCCCTCTTCTTCTTTCATATCTCCAAGCGACTTCGGGCCTCCAAGCAGGAAGGGTGCGAGAAGCGGGAGCGGCATCTGAACAGAGCCGACCCGCAGTTCGTTTTGTTGCCAGCCGCGCCCTCATACCCCCAAGCGCTCTGACGCCTACGCCTCGACCTTCTTGGGCAGCAGCTGGTTCGACAGGTCCTCTCCGTGGCCTAGGCAGCCGTGGCCGCCGTGGCCCCAGGTAAAGAAGGCGCCGTCGGCGGTGAGGGCGAGGCTGTGGGCGATCCCCGCCGACACAGCGACGACGCGCTGGCCAGCTAAGGCCTCGACCTTCTTGGGCAGCAGCTGGTTCTGCTCGTCGCCGTGGCCCAGCCGGCCAATGTCTCCCTCGCCCCAGCTCCAGACGGCGCCGTCGGCGGTGAGGGCGAGGCTGTTGAAGTACCCAGCCGACACAGCGACGACGCGCTGGCCAGCGAAGGCCTCGATCTTCTTGGGCAACAGCTGGTTCTGCCAGTCGCCGTGGCCCAGCCGGCCAATGTCTCCCTCGCCCCAGCTCCAGACGTCGCCGTTGGCGGTGATGGCGAGGCTGTGGAAGTCTCCAGCCGCGACAGCGACGACGCGCTGCCCAGCCAAGGCCTCAACCTTCTTGGGCAGCAGCTGGTTCTGCCAGTTGCCGTGGCCCAACCGGCCCCCGCCCCCAAAGCCCCAGCTCCAGACGGCGCCATCGGCAGTGATGGCGAGGCCGTGATTGTGTCCAGCCGACACAGCGACGACGCGCTGGCCCGCAAACGCCTCGATCTTCTTCGGCAGCATCTGGTTCTGCTCGTCGCCGTGGCCCAACCGGCCTTGCCCTCCACGGCCCCAGCTCCAGACGGCGCCGTCGGCGGTGAGGGAGAGGTTGTGGTACGCTCCAGCTGACACGGCGATGACGCGCTGGCCCGCCAAGGCCTCGACCTCCTTGGGCAGCAGTTGGTCCTGCTGGTCGCCGTGGCCCAGAGCGCCCAAGCCTCCCTGGCCCCAGCTCCAAACGGCGCCGGCTGTGAGGGTGAGGCTGTGGAATCCGCCAGCCGACACGCTCACGGCGCGCTCGCCGCCCAGCGGGGAGGGGAGGCGGGTCGGCGTGTTGAGCCGCGTCACGCCCTCGCCGTGGCCAAGGAGGCCTGGGTCGTGATTCGCATTGCCGCATGACGAGAGCCGCCCCTCGCCGTCGATGAAGAGGCTGTGCCGAGAGCCTGCCGCAGCCCTCGCCGGCGGGTTGGACTCGCACAGCAACGCCGAATAGCACAGCCACCGTACGGCGCAGCCCTCGCCCTCTGGCAGCGCCGGCAGCTCGAAGCCGCGCTCTTGCGCCCACAAGCGGATGCCCTCCAGCGCAAGCGAGGCGTGGAAGAGCAGCGAGACGGCCGCGACGCGAGCGATGTCGGCGGGGTCGCAGCGAGAGAGGGCGCGCGCGAGGAGCTCCGTGGGGAGGTCGAGGAGGCGGGCGGGCGGCGGTGTGTTTGGCGAGGGGGCGGCGGTGGCGGAGGCGGCGAGGCGGCGCGAGCGGCGGCGCGGCGGGGTGGACATCGCGAGGAAAAGAATTTTACAAAAAAAGAATTTAAGCAGGAGGCGGGGGTGGCGGCGGGGGCGAGCCGGATGGTGACACGCTCCCTCGCACAACACTGGGCACGGGACTACGGGACTGGCGCGCACTGGCACTAACACAGGTACACCACTGGAGCCGCCTAGGAAAAGAATGTAGTTCCTTAGTGCTTAGAGTTGTACAGCAGAAAAGTTGTAGTTTTAATGATATGACTTGGCGGCAAATGATAGCAGTGGGCGTCAGAAGACTCGTCCTTGCTCGAGGAGAGCTCGATAGACTCGAGGGGCCAGGATATGCAGCAAGGAGGGCGGAGCTGCGCCGAAAGGCGAAAGAAGCCGGAGAGAACAAGGGAACGGCAGGCGGCGCGGGCGGCGTCGCAGAACGAGGCAGAGGAGAGCGACGCGACAGAGGAAGAAGCGACAAGGGAGAGCACGACGAGAAGGGGGCGACCGCGAGGTGGCACGAAGGTTGCAGCGAGAATCGGCGAGGGACTGCGAAGAGAGATAGGAAGAGGCAGACGCCCAAGGGTGGGCGACGGCTAGCGCACCACACCCCTCTCCTTAAAATCCCTGTGTGGTGGCGGCGTGCCGTAAAAAAAGACCTGGGGGAAAAAGCATGCGCGACTTGCACTCTTTCGTGCCACTCGCTCGTGGGTGCGCGGGGCATGGCCTCCCGCGCGGCTCGCGCTCACTCGGCCTGCCTCCGCCTCACGGCTGGCTGAACACGCCATGGGTCCGCCTGGTGCGGCGCTGCTCGCTCGCTGCGCTGCAGAAAGCTACGAGAAGCAGGGTGGCCTCCTGAGCTTGAGCATGGCGCAGCGCGGCTGCTGGTGCTCGAGGGCGGCCGTGCAGTGGCGTGAGGGCCTGATTGGTGGTGACCTCGTGCTGCTTCAGCGTGCGCAGCATGCTCCCTCACCCGGTGCTGAGACATGCTGGTGGGCGACTGGCGCCAGCTTCTCAGTGCTGTCCCTGGCGTTGTGCAGCATGTCGCAATACTCCTGCTGCGCTGACCGGCGCGCGGGGCGCGTCGTGCCGCGAGTGGAGCGAGAGGCTCGAGGCGCGCGGCTGTCGGTCAACCCTGCGGCGCATGCGCGCCGCCAAGGCTGCTCGACAGGCGACTGGCATTGTGGCGACGCGGTCGCCGTTACTCCAACTTTGCTTTGCCGATCAAAAGCGCCCGTCCTTTGCTTTTTAGCCGCCGAAATTTAGCTGGCTGTTTTTTCTTTATAGGCGTCTGCAACTTCCAAGCTGCGTATTCTTCTTGTATTATCGTCGAGTAAGTGCAGGTACTCCGTGGGGGCAGTATGTATTCTTGTAAGATGTGCGTATTCTCGTCTCACTGGCTCCGAGTAGAAAAAGAAAGAAAACATGTTAGTGTCTGGTGTTTACTAGCTCCGAGTAGAGGGGGCGTTCCGCCGCTAGGGGACACCCAAAGCGCAGAACCAACCCTCGGAGACCCGTGTTTACTTTACAGCCCTTGCCCTGCGAATGCGCACCCCCCCTAGCTAGGGGTCAGGGCTCTCTAGCCCGTAGCCCGATGCCGATCATCCGGCTCGCTGGGTGCGCTTCTCAGCTCCCCGGCCCTGGATGTGAGGTTAATGACTGCACTCCAAGTGCTCCAAGTCCTCCCATCCCTCCCTTGGGTTGTCCGTTTTCTTTCTTTCTTTCTTTAGTTTTTTCAGACTGCGAAGGGAGATAGAAAGAGGCAGACGACCAAGGATTTAGGGTGGCGACGGCTAGCACCACACTCCTCTCCTTAAAATCCCTGTGTGGTGGCGGCGTGCCGTCCTCCCATCCCTCCCTTGGGTTGCCTGTTTTCTTTCTTTCTTTCTTTCTGTAGTTTTTCAACAAAAACAAGTGGAAAAGAATTTTACAAAAAATTACCTCAGGAAAAGAATTTTACAAACAAACTCCCTCTGGTGTACCTGTGTTAGTGCCAGTGCGCGCCAGTCCCGTGCCTAGTGTCGAGTGTCGTGCGAGGAAAAGAATTTTACAACGAAACTCTCCCTCGCACGAGGAAAAGAATTCGCATTCTCGAACCGACCTCGGAGACCCATGTTACAGGGCGAGCGGGGTGCGCACCGCTCTGTGCCTCTGTGTTCGTACGTCGCCCATCTCTCTCCAGGAGATGCAGGCTGCTCTTTTATTTTATTTACCCGGAGGACGTGGACGACCCCGGCTAGTCGGTAGTCGCCGACCACACCCACAAAGAACCCTGCACAAAGATCGCACGGGCGGGGACCTCTCTGGGCCGGCGCGGGGGCCCCAGAGGGTGTCCATGCGGGGGGGCGATGGGGTCCCATGGCCCGCCGCAGGCGCCGATTGGTTTTTTCTTTTTTTGCGCGATTTTTCAGTTGTTTTCACGGGAATTCGGCGTACTTGCGGCCATGCTATCACGCCTTGCGACATCCTTTCGGCGCTGCTGACCGTGCCGTGCTGCACCATTGATCACCTGCATAGCTCGCGGCCTTAGTATCAAGCATTCAGTGACGACCTGATCGTACGGCCAGTAGGAAGGTCAAGGTGTCCTTCCATCGTGTGCACGCTTGGTGCAATGCGCGTCGCCTCGGATTGGCTGCTGGCACTCTCGAGGCTATGCCTACACAGCCTCGCGCGCATGGGCAGTCAAGAGGGACCACGCACCTTCTCAGGACAGCGCCGGTGCCTCTCTCTTGGACCGGCAAACTTTGTGGTCTAGTGTCACCAATATGGGACCAGTGCGGCATCGCGCCATCGACAGCTCTGAACTGCGCCTCACCACTGACCGGGGAGGCCGCCAAGTGGGCCAGCACCGGTCGCACATTGTGGCAGCAGTCAGCAGTCCATGGCTGATAGCTAGAGCAGCAGCGTCAGGGTCGCAGGGTCGGATCGTGTCAAGCCTCTCGCCCGGCCGGCCGCGTGCAGACGTCGGCCTGTCTGCTGTCTGGAGTGATCTGTCGGCGGTCAGTACGACCGATCAGGTTGGAGGTTACTGATGATTGGAGGGTCTATCTGTGTGTACTCCTCGAAATCTCTCCAAATCTGCCATCTAATCAACCGTAATCATTCGGGAAGTTGGTGCTAATAGAGACTAATAGAGCCGGAGCCCCGTTTCCGCACTGCGGCGCGGCGCACGGGGGCCCCCGCGCCCCCCCAGAGGGGGACCTGTTCCTTTTTACCCATCTCACAGTAGAGAGGTGTCCTTCGGGCGGCCCGGGGACCTGTTTCTGTTTACCCAATAACCCATCTCAGAGTCGATCTCACAGACAGGAAGACACGCTGGGTGTGGTGGTGCCAACCGCACTCCAAGTGCTCCAGGTGCTCCGGCACACCCCGCCGTTGCCACACTCGCAGTCTCGCACGGCCCCTACATGTGCGACTCACCGCTCACGGGCCGCTGCAGGATGACCGCGTTGCGCCACGAGTACGCCGACGTGTAGGTGACCATCCCGAACCAGCCCAGCGTCGCGCGGCGCGTCCCCTCGCGCGTCAGGTCCGCCTCCGCAACCAGCTGGCCGCCCACCCAATAGGCGGCGCGCGTCGTCGTCAGCTCCACCCTCACCAGCGCCCACTGGGCGTGAGGCAGCCGCACGCGGTTGTGGCGCGCGATGTGGTGGAGGAACTCGTACATGCGCGTGCGGAAGGTGAAGTCGTGCCGGTGCGGCGCCGCGTACCAGGTGAGAGCGTCCTCGCCCGCGCCGCCGCCAGCCCAGCGCACGCGGCTGCTGGAGAAGGCGCCGATGCACTCCGACTGAGAGTTGTCGGCGCGCACCTCGTACGCGAGGACCGTCGGCGTGTCGTCGCTTAGCACGACGTCCTCCGGCAGCCACACGTTGGTGCCCGCGCGCACGCGGTGCGGGGTTTCGCGCCGCGGCGCGTTGCGATGCGAGTCGACGTTGAGCAGCCTCGCTTGCGACAGCGGCAGCACGGCGCGAAACTGAGTGCAGACGGAGCGCAGTGCCACCTCCGTTACCTTCGCGAGGAGGATCGGATAGGCGGGGTGCTGCTCCGTGAGTCCAGGCCGGCGGCTGCCACTGCGATCGTCGGCAACGCTCGCGTTGTGGATGGTGAGGGGCGGCGTGGCCGGCGCCGCTTGCCGCAGAATGCTCGCTAACAGTTCCGACGGCACGTCGAGGAGCCGGAGCTCGGTCGCCTCCTCAGACATGCTGATCAAGGCCGCGTCCGGCCTTTCGTCGATGTTTTTCTTTTTCTTCGCCCTTGCCGGAAGACGAATCATCTGTCCCGCGTCCACCCATACCGCGTTGGTGTCCAGTCCGAGCCTGACTGTTGTTCATCTTTCTACCTACCTACCTAGACGAATCGAGTCACTTAGCTCCTCACCCCCCACCCCCGCCACTGGCAAATCATTCACAATCTGCTCTGCGATGGCCGTGTGAAGAACGACTGAGATGCGCTGCTTCTGCAGCCCCAGCCAGCTCTTGGTGGTCCAAGTCACCTCATCGAGGTACTTAGCCCGCGTCAGCTTGTTCTGCAGCACGTTCGCCGCCCCCCACCAGTCGAACCGACCTCGGAGACCCATGTTATAGGGCGAGCGGGGCGGGGTGCGCACTGCGTGCGCTCTGTGTTCGTGCGTCGCCCATCTCTCTCTCCAGGATAAGGTAAGGTAAGGTAAGGTAAATTTCTCCACACACACAAGTGGTGGGGCAAAGGGGGGGCGACCCTCGCATCTCCACACCCGGACACGGGCAGGAGCCCCACGGCATTCAAAGTGCAAGCACTGGCCCGGTGCACGTGGGTGAGCAGCCTGCCCCTCCCTCCCGACAAACCAACTCCCGCACACACACAATCTCTCTCCAGGACCAGGTGAGATGCAGGCTGCTCTTTTATTTTATTTACCCGGAGGAGGACGTGGACGACCCCGGCTAGTCGCCGACCACACCCAGAAAGAATCCTGCACAAAGATCGCACGGGCGGGGACCTGTTTCTGTTTACCCAATAAGAAACCCATCTCGCAGACACCCAGTAGAGACAAGAGAGGTGTCCGTTTTTACGTGGCTGGGTTCACAGCGATTGTAGGAAAACGAAGGGAACACTTGACGGTCGCGGCCTTCCGACTCGCGCCTCCGCCTCACTGGCACTATTGTAGCCCTGGCCGGTGCGCGTGTGAAGTTTAAGTTCCGGAGTAAAAATTCGAACGCGTTCTCTCACGGTGACAAAAAAATGTCCACCTCAGAGGCACCTCCGGAGGCAGGCCGCCGCACGCCGGCGACACAGCTCCAGCTGTCGAACTGACCCGCAGCTCCTTTCAGAGCGGGAACTGTGACGAAAGTTGACTGAGGCGGTTGTCAGGAACCATCATACGGATTACATGGTGGCTCTCTCATGACGGGAGACCGCCCGACCACTCCTGGGTGGCACTGCCACCGGTGTCGCTCGACATCCTGTCGACAGCGTGCCGACAGCGACACAACCATGTGGGACGCGTCGAGTATCGACCTCTACTGCTTACCCAGCCTTCGAGTGTATCCTGGCTGTGGTCCCACACCCACTGGTGTCCATCTCAGAGACCGCAGGAGGTCATGAGGGTCGACGGGAGTGCCAACCCCACAATGCCTAAAAACCCAGCCCAGTATTTATTTACAAGCTCTCCGCGCACGGCGACTCGGACTCCTCAATCCAGCTCGTCCAGATCCACCACCTCCCCTCCGCCAGCCCCTCCGCCCTGGTCCACGCCCATCCGGTCCTCCTCGCCCGCGTTTCCTTCCGCGAGCCCGAGGGCCGCGCCCTCCTCCTCCGTCAGCAGGTCGCCAAACAGCTGAAGCAGCTCCTCCTGCAGGCTCTCGTCCTGCAGCAGCGCCTCCACCTCGGCCTCCACCGACTCCTGCGCCGCCCACGCCCGCGCCGCCGCCGGCCCCGGCGGCAGCCCCGCCCCTCGGACTTCTGCGCCGCCGCCCTCGCCCATCCTCGGAGAGGCGGCGCCTCCGCCCCAAGCGAAGCTCCCTCCCGCCGGCTCGCCGGGGGCGCCTCCCGCCTGCCCTTCCCCCGCCTCGTCCTCCCCAAGCAGCAGGCTCTCCAGCAGCTCGGAGAGAGGCAGCCCGCTCGTGAGCAAGTCCTCCTCCTCCTCATCATCGTCCTCCTCATCGTCCTCCGGCGCCGGCCACCTCGCAACGCCGCTGCCTCCCGCGGCCATCGCCTCCCGCGCAGCGGCTGCTCGCAGCCCGCTCGTCTCGGCCGACGCTCCGCCCGCCGCCTGCAAGTCTGAGCGGTGCATATCCCACGCCGCAGTGAGCGAGTTTGCAGTGCGCCTGCCGTCGGTCCACACAAACGCGTTGCGCCGCTCGCCGTTGGCAGCCGTCTGGCGCACGCTCCGCCACCCGGGCGGCGGCACGAAGCCATCCTCGTCCTCCTCGTTGTCCGAGTCTGACCCGTCGGCGCCACGCGGTAGCCACTCCCTCGCCGCAGAGTCTCGCCGCTGGCGGCTGCGCTGCGCCAGGAGCCGAAGGAGCTGCGCCTGTTCTTCGTCGGTCTCGTCGTCGTCGGCGCGCGGGCAAAGAAAGTCCTCCTCGGCGGTTGCCCACTTCTTCCACATGGGCCGAGTGACAGAGGCGGCGTGGGCCGCGGGAGCAGCGGAGAGGGCGGCGCAGAGGGCGGCGGAGGGGAGGCTTCGCGCCGCGTGTTTGCGAGGCGGAAGAGAGAATTTTACTGCGCACAAAAGAGAGTTGTGGCGACCCTCTCTCACAGCACACTGCACGACAGTTGTGACAGTTGTCAGATGTCACGATGCACCCGAAGGGGACCCCAGCGCCGGCATCATCCGTAGAGGCACGAGTGTTCGAAGAGAGAGTGGACCTGAGCAACAACATGACGTGTAGGCAAATGATCGGAGTGGGAGTCAGAAATGTGGTCCTTGCGCGAGGGGAGCTTGATAGACTCGAGGGGCCAGGATACGCCGCGAGGAGGACGGAGTTGCGCAAGGCGAAAGAAGCCGCGAGAACAAGGCTCAAGGGACCGGCAGGCGGCGGCGTCGCAGGACGAGGCAGAAGAGAACGACGCGACAGAGGAGGAAGTGACAAGGGAGAGACCGACGAGAGTGGGACGGCCGCGAGGTGGCATGAAGGTTGCAGCGAGAAGCGGCGAGAGACTGCGAAAAGAGATACGAAGAGGCAGACTCCCCAGGGTGGGCGACGGCTAGCGCACCACACTCCTCTCCTTAAAATCCCTGTGTGGTGGCGGCGTGCCGTTCTCCCATCCCTCCCTTGGGTTGTGTGATTCTTTCTTTCTTTCTTTACACTGCACGACAAAGGGCGCGGACTGGCGCGGACTGGCACACACCGCGAAAGAGAAAAGCGAGCGCCATGTGTATAGAGAAACCGGAACCACAACACAAGGGAGAAGGTGGAGGGGCCTGGAACAAGAGGCAGGATTAGGAGAAAAAAATAAAAAAGAGGACTCATCGCGAACACTCACTCTCGCCTTCCATCCTCCGCCACCTCGCTGTTCATTTATCATCCTCTCAGAGGTGGCGCATGACGAGTGTAGCCAGCCGCGCTGCCGCTCAGCCCGCCGCGAAGCGACAGCGCAAGAGCCTCGCGGAGATGGCCGCCAGCGTCGCCGGCCCGCCGTCGCTCGTGCTTCCTCCCGCTCTCGAGCCTCGATGTTCATCCTCCTCCCTTCTTGCCCGCGAGATCAATCCCGAGGCGACGCTGCCCGCGCTGCTGCGCATCGGCGCCTGGGGCACCAGCAGCGGCGCGCAGCAGCACGGCTCCTTCCGCTCCGTGGCGATGGTGCGCGGGGGAGGATCGTGGATGGCGCACTCTGGATGCGAGCTCAAGGTGGAGAGGATCGTGTCGCAGAGGAGGCACCACCGCTGCGGGGTGGGATCCATCGCGGCGCTCGCCGGCTCCTTTGCATTCGCGAGAGGGGACATCCGCATCGAGCAGCAGCCGGCGCCGCTGCAGCCGCCCACCAAACGCCCTCTGTGCCACCCACCGCCGTCAGCAGCCGGTGTGGCAGCCCCCCCAACCCTGCCCCCCTCTCCCCGCCCCCGCGGCCAGGCCTCCTTTGTGCGCGGCGTCGCCCTGCCGCCCCACGTCGCCATCTCGGTGCTCGACGGCCATGACGATGCCTCCGTCTGCGGCGAGGGCGAGGGGGTGCGCCTCCCCTACCCCACGGTACCAGAACCCACCTTTCCCTACCCCACGGTACCCGAACCCACCCTTCCCTACCCCACGGTACCCGAACCGACCCTTGCCTCCGTCTGCGACGAGGGCGAGGGGGTGCGCCTCTCCTACCCCACGGCAGTTGAACCCAGAGCAGATGCGATCTCGGCAAATCTCGGCACATCTCGGCACATCTCGCCACATCTCGCCACATCTCGCCACATCTCGCCACATCTCGCCACATCTCGCCACATCTCGCCACATCTCGCCACATCTCGCCACATCTCGGCACATCTCGCCACATCTCGCCTCATCTCGCCACATCTCGCCTCATCTCGCCACATCTCGCCACATCTCGCCACATCTCGCCACATCTCGCCACATCTCGCCACATCTCGCCACATCTCGCCACATCTCGCCACATCTCGCCCCATCTCGCCACATCTCGCCTCAGGCGCTGGAGCCAGAGGAGATGCGCTTGCTCGCCTGCCTCATCCCGCCCGGCCAGACCCTCGCGCTGCGTGCAGGAGGCAGGTGCGCGCTGTCTCCGCCCCCCTTCCGCCCCCCTCTCCGCCCCCCTCTCCGCCCCCCTCTCCTTCCCCCTCTCCCCCCCCTACCCCGCCACACCTCCCGACCCCCCACCCCCCACCACACCCCGCCCTTCCCCTCCCTTCCATGGCAGGGGCAGTCCAGCCGCCCTCACTACCGAGCCAGGCGACATCGAGCCCCACACACCGCCGTCCGGCTGTGAACGGCGTCTCTTCACACCTCGAGCTGTGAACAGGCGACATCGAGCTCCACACGGCCTTCCGGCCCGCCACCAGCCCGAGCGCGCGGGTGCTGCTCCGGTGGGAGGCCGACGACTAGCCCAGGTGGGTTCGGGTACCGTGGGGTAGGGGAGGGTGGGTTCGGGTACCGTGGGGTAGGGTAGGGTGGGTTCGGGTACCTTGGGGTAGGGGGATGGTGGGTTCGGGTACCGTGGGGTAGGGGAGGCCGACGACGACTAGCCCAACCACAGTCCCGAGCCCGCCCCATCCGGCACTCCACCTCCCTTCCCCCCCCCCTTCCCCCCCCCCCCCTCTGTGGCGTTGCAGAGAGCGCGGTCGAGAGAACGCGGTCGGGAGAGCGTCGTCTGTGGGGTCCGGCCGGGGGCGGGCCGGCTGGGAAGTGAGAGGACTGAGTCGCTTGGAGCGGTCGCTGACGCTGTGCCGCCCGCCGGTTTCACACGGACACAGTGCGTGCGTGAAGTGTCCCACAGCCCACACTGGCACTGCGTCGTGCGTACGTGGCGAGGTGTGTGCGCGGCTCTTGTGTATCGTATATATTTTGTATACTGGGAAACGTTTCCGAGCCACGTGGGAGCAGCAAGCGCATCCAAGCTCGCACTCTCTATGTGCCACCGCGCGGCGCGTGCACGACAACCACCTCGGCCTCTCGCGCCGCGCGCCTCACGTCATGCCGCTGCGAGTCAGATTCGGCGCCGACGGCGAAGCCTCGTACGTGCGTAGCTGTGGAGCCCCTCGACACGCGTTGAGGCTGTGCGTCTCCCTCGCGCTTTGTCGAGGAGGCCTCGGCACAGGGAGGAGGAGCCGCCGCCCACACTCGTCAGCCGGCGCGTCGGCGACTGTCACTGGAGGAGAGGTGGCCCGGTGCGAGATATGGGGAGATATGGCGAGATATGGGGAGACATGGCGACGGTCACTGGAGGAGGTGGCCCGGTGCGTGGTGGTAGAGCGACTTGTAGACATACGCCTGCGAGGTGCAGCCGAGGTGCAGCCGAGGTGCAGCCGAGGTGCAGCCGAGGTCCGGCCGATGTGCAGCCGAGGTGCAGCCGAGGTGCAGCCGAGAGGCAGCCGAGGTGCAGCCGAGGTGCAGCCGAGGCCTGCGAGATGAGCTCGGCCATGTCGGTCTCGCACCAGCCGGACGTGGGCAGGTTTTGCAGAAACATGACGAGCTCGGAAAAGTCCATCGCCAGCAGCTGCTTGGACCTAGAAGGTTCCTAGAAGGTTCGTAGAAGGTTGTTCCTAGGAAAAGTCCATCGCCAGCAGCTGCTTGGACCAGTGCGTGAGCAAGGACGCGCACACGTAGACGTGGAGCGGGGCGAAGCCTGCGTGCTGAATACACCGGCATCAGGGTGGGAAGGCGGTATTGTGCGGTGTCTTCAGAGCACCGCGTGAGTCCGAGGGGGTAGGAGGACAGTGAGTCCGAGGGGGTAGGAGGACAGTGACTACGGCCGAATACGATCGAGTGCAGTGGAACACGCGCTGTCCTCTCGAGCGCTAGTTTTGAGTACACGAACAGGAATGCAAGAGCACGGGTTCTATGCTGTCTTCCGCTTCTAGGGGGCGAAGCCCTCGCCGATGTCGGACGTCTCGACGAGTGACATGTCGCTCACCTACGTGTCCCACACCTCCAGAGTACCGAACCCGGTGTGGGTTCAGGTCCCGGGGGAGGTGGGGGACATGCGGCTCACGTCCTCGGAGCCGCCGTACTCGGCCAGGTACGTGTCCCACAGCCGCAGGATCAAGTCGAGCGAGAACTCGCGGAGCAGCAGGCAGTTCATCCAGCGGAAGGCGAACCTGCGAGGAAGTGTCTAGGAAGTGTCTAGGCAGTGTCTAGGCAGTTCATCCAGCGGAAGGCGAACCTAGGAAGTGTCCAGGAAGTGTCTAGGAAGTGTCTAGGCAGTTCATCCAACGGAAGGCGAACCTGCGCGCGCGACAAGGCCTGTGGGGCTTCTGCGCAGCGGCGAGCAGGCTCCCTCTGGTGCAGGGAGAGGAGGGGGGGGAGGGGGAGAGGGTGCGGGGAAGGGCGAGGGGGTGCCAAGCAGCGTGAGTGGGAAAAGCCCGGAAAAAGGGATGGGCAGGAAGGGAAAACAATAAGGGTAGGTCCGACGGGCTGGATGAACTGCAGGTTCTCGTCGAGCAGATGCGCGTGCAGCTTGGCGTCGATGCGGGCGACCTAATCAAGCGATTCAGTCTTCAATCAGGCAGTCATTGAATCAAGTGCCGCTTGGCGTCGGCGCGGGCGACCAGCTCTTTGAGCTTGAAGACCATTCGCTGGATGCCTGGCTGCGCGAAGGTGTAGTTGTCGTGCACCGAATCTAGCAGGCGGCTCAGGCACCAAAACGCGTCCGCCTCCGCCTGGGCGAGCCAAAAGGAGTAGCGACGGGAGTAGCAACGGCAAGAGGCGTCTCCCCGCCCGATCTCCGCCCGATCTCCGCCCGATCTCCGCCCGATCTCCCCCCGATCTCCGCCCGATCTCCGCCTGAGCGAGCAGGTACGGCTGCCTCCGGTGCACCTCGTCGACGTCCTCCGCCTAAAAGGTTCCTAGAAGGTTCCTAGAAGGTTCCTAGAAGGTTCCGGTGCACCTCGTCGACGTCCTCCGCCGTGTGCGCCGATCCGCGCGGCAAGCCGTCGGCAAGCAAGACGAGGAAGAAGGGGGTCGCCACGTCGTTGACGCCCTGCACGTACCTGACAGTGAGATATGGGGAGATATGGGGAGATATGGGGAGGTATGGGGAGGTGTGGGGAGATATAGGGAGGTATGGGGAGATATAGGGAGATATGGCGAGATGTGGGGAGGTATGGGGAGGTATGGAGAGGTATGGGGAGATATAGGGAGATATGGCGAGATGTGGGGAGGTATGGGGAGGTATGGGGAGGTATGGGGAGATATGGGGAGGTATGGGGAGGTATGAGATATGGGGAGATATGGGGAGATATGGGGAGGTATGGGGAGGTATGAGATATGGGGAGATATGGGGAGATATGGGGAGATATAGGGAGATATGGCGAGATGTGGGGAGGTATGGGGAGGTATGGGGAGGTATGGGGAGATATGGGGAGGTATGGGGAGGTATGAGATATGGGGAGGTATGGGGAGGTATGGGGAGATATAGGGAGATATGGCGAGATGTGGGGAGGTATGGGGAGGTATGGGGAGGTATGGGGAGGTATGGGGAGGTATGGGGAGATATGGGGAGATATGGGGAGATATGGGGAGATATGGGGAGATATGGGGAGATATGGGACCCGCTCGCAGGGTGGCGCAGCGCCCAGATGTAGAGAACCCGCTCGAGGGCGCGCTGCACGAGAGGCGACTGGAAGATGGGAGAGCTGGTAGACGTGCGCGGCACATCGATCAGGATCTGGTGCAGCGTCTTCTTCTCGTACTCGGACCGTTCCGCGTCCGACACCTCAAAATGCTGCGGCACCGACTCGAGGTACTCCCTCCGCCGCCGGCTGAGCGCGGCGGCGCGGAAGGCCCTGTTCGGCGGCATGTACCTAGAAGGTAGAAGGCTCCTAGAAGGCTTCCCAGAAGGCTTCCTAGAAAGGCCCTGCTCGGCGGCATGTACCCGAGCAGCAGCGGCCAGGCCGTGGCGCGGCAATGGGGGGGGATGCCGCCCCAGGAGAGGGCTCGCAGCGCCTTCAGGTCGACAATCTCCGCGCCGAGAAGCTCCTCGAACCGCCCGATCCGCTGCTGCTCCATCGACGGCGGGCACCCTGCCCCGCCGCCGCCGCTGCCGCCGCCGCCGCCGCCGCCGCCGCTTCCGCTCCCGCTTCCGCTGCCGCCGGTGCCGCCGGACGTGGACGAGACCGCGGGTGCGGAGGAGTCCGAAGCGGCGCCCGCGCCGTCGCCCTCCATCGCGCTGTTGCCGCCCGCGCGAGCCACCGCGCAAGCGTCGCCACCCTCGCCCGGCGGCGCGTTGGCCCGCTGCTGCCGCCTGGCGTCCATGTCTGGCGGCAGCGGCGGCGCGCGAGAGACGCCGACGCCCGCCGTCGACGCCGTCCCGGCGCCTCCCACCCCGAGCGCCGAATAGACGCTGCTCGCGGCGCTCGCCGCCGCCGCCGCCGCGCGCACGAGCGGCTGCGGGCTGGCGCTGGCGGCCGCTGGCGCGGCGGCCGCGGGCGGACGCGCCGCTGGCGCGGTGAGCGGCGGGTACGACGCGCCGCGCACGGTGCTCACCTTACCAGGCACCTTCTTCGGAGGCATGCTGAGCCCGCGCTGTGTCTAAACAGGGGCGTGCGCGCCTGTGTCGAATATAAATAAATAAACAAAGTGCAATGGAAAATCCAAAATCCAAATCGCAAACATAGAAACCCAAACACACACAGCCACGTGGCATAGGAGAGCAGGAGGTGAAAGGAGGTCAGCACAAGTCCAAGGACGCACGAGCGAGAAGCACAGCAGAGCAGACAGATGACGATCACCACCCAGCGCACGACCGCCAACTCTCCGGCGCAGGCCGCAGAACCGAGTCCGGGGGCCGACGGTCGCGGCGCGCCGGCGCGGCGCAGTGGACGCAGCCCGGTTCGCAGCTTCGCGAGCTACGGGGAATAAATACAAGAAGACACGCCAAACGAGGGGTGGGAGAAGGACAGGGTCCCCACCTGCACGAGCAGGATCTTGTAAGGACGATCAGGGACACAGGGGAACGGGAGCGGGGAGCGCATCGCGACACGGAGGGGGGCTGGGCAGGGTTCACCCTCACGACAGGGTCCCAGGGATTCCTCTCTCGTATAGGACAGGTTGCACCCGGCGGCACGGGGGCAAGCGCGGGCCTCCTACTGGTTGCGCTCTCCTAGTTCTCCTGCTCCTGACAAGGGACAGCGACAGGCTCGCAGCACGGTGGACTCCCTATCCACTGGCGATCTCTCTCGACTAGCGACCTTCCTCCGACTTCTCACCGGGTTCGCTCTTTATTAGGGCGCGTAATTCTTTTTTTAGAGCGCCTTCAGCCACACACACCCACCCAACGCCTAAAAAGATCGCATGGTGGTAGAAACCGCGATGCGCCTTGACGTAGCCGTGGCCGGTCTTGTGGGAGAAGGGTTGGCTGGGCTGCCCGCGCGCCTTGCAGCCCATGTTCAGGCGGCGGGCCTTCTCTTCGGTGTTGCCGAAGGCGTAGGAGTGGCCGACGGAGGCGGGCGTGCCGCCACTCGAGGCGTTGCCAACGCCCGTCGAGGAGGTCTTGAGGAGGGGCGTCCAGAGCTTGACTTCATTCACTTCATCGCATCCCCCCGGGCCCGCATGGGGTTCTGCGAGGTCAGTCTTGTACCCCTCATTGTACTGCCGGGTGAGCTCTGGTTTCTCCTTGTCGCCGTGCACGACCGGCGCGTTGGCCGGGGCGCGCATCGCGTCCGCCCAGGCGGCGAGGACGCCGTCGTGGGGCCGCCGGTGGTGGGCCTTGTTGTAAAAAAAAAAATTAAATATTCTTAGCTTCGCCCTTGCCTCCGACGCTAGAGACAGTCACCACGGATACATACGTCCGTGGGAGTGCCCCCCTCCCCCACCTGCCCTGCTTACACAGGATAGCATGCCCCGAGAACGGCGGCATTTGGCGGGGGTAACCTGGGAAGGAGGTTCGGTTGTGCTTTTTTCTTTTTTGCTCTCGAGGGAATGTTCTCTCGACGCCACTGGCCTTCTGAGGTTTCGTACTGTGACGTCCTTCTTGGCACTTCGGGCGTCGGTGTGTGTGGTGAATTCCCTCGGTTTTTAATGTGTTTTTATTTATTATTTTTGGCTATATCATCGGACGTTGAGTGGGCACCATCTCCAGTCCATCATCTACGATGCCAACCCGAGCCGTCTGCCGCTCGAGGATCGAGCGGCCTCCGGATCGAATCGGCACCTTGACCCTTATAATTTTTTTTCACATCTTGAGCGGGCCCAATTTTGCTCAGATGCACCTCCGAATTCGAACTCACGTCATCACGCTTAGCGCTTGGTGTGTGTCCGTTTTTCGTCACGGGTGAGGGCCTTGTTGTAAAGGTAGTCGCCGAAGAAATGCTCGAACATGAGTTTCGTTGGAGCTCGTCTGGCGGGACAGCCCCGCCCTTTTGAGGCAGGAAAGTGGCGGCTACCCCGTACGCCCAGCCTGCTACGACCCCCTCGCCGACCGTCCAGAGCCCCCCTTCCCCCTCTCCAGCCCGACGAGCCGACGAATGGTTGAGCCACCGACCTTGCGCACCCCCGTCCTCCGCCATCCCTCACTGACACAACACCCCCGCGACACGCCCATACAAGACAAACCCGGCGTTCTGCTCTCAAAAGAAAAGAAAAATGGGAAGGAGGAGACCAGCGGGGGAGACTCCCCGCCTATGCAACACCCCAGAGAGGGGCTGCCATCGCCGAAGCTGTGCCTAAGCATAACTCCCAAACCCGCAGCGGCCCGGGGGGCCTTGGGGGCAGCCTGCCGGACCGCTGTTGCACAGGCCGAAGCACCAGAAAATGAAAGTAGTTGATGGGTTGGGCTGCCGACCGTGCCTCCCCTCTTTGCGTCAGAGTGGGACCTACGCCGCGCCAGGTAGGGGGCGCGCCCGGTCCTTGACGGAGCCGCGCGCCCCGAGCGACCCAGGCGGCGAGTAGTCGCCCTCGAACCTTCGGCATGTAGTAGTTAGCCAGCAACATGAAGCAACGGGAGAGCGCACAGCGAGCGCAAACACAGCTCTGAAAGGACTTGGCCATTCTGCAAATGGGGTTTCTTTTCTTAAGTGCCTCGCCGTCCTCGCCGGAGTCGCTTAGGAATCCTAGGCGGCTCCAGTGGTGTACCTGTGTTAGTGCCAGTGCGCGCCAGTCCCGTGCCCAGTCCTGTGCCCAGTGTTGTGCGATGGAGTTGCGTCGTAAAATTCTTTTGCTCGCGATGTCCATTTGCCGCGCCGCCTCGCCCCCGCCGCCACCGCCGCGCCCTCTCCAGACACGCCGCCGCCCGCCCGCCTCCTCGACCTCCCCACGGACCTCCTCGTGCGCGCCCTCTCTCGCTGCGACCCCGCCGACATCGCTCGCGTCGCGGCCGTCTCGCTGCTCTTCCACGCCTCGCTTGCGCTGGAGGGCATCCGCTTGTGGGCGCGAGAGCGCGGCTTCGAGCTGCCGGCGCTGCCAGAGGGTGAGGGCTGCGCCGTACGGTGGCTGTGCTTCTCGGCGCTGCTGCGCAAGTCCAACCCGCCAGCGAGGGCGGCGGCAGGCGCTCGGCACAGCCTCTTCATCGCCGGCGAGGGGCGGCTCTCGTCGTGCGGCTCGGCGGATGCCGTGCCAGGCCTCCTCGACCACGGCGAGGGCGTGACGCGACTGGCGAGGTCGACCCGCCTCGCGTCGACGCTGGGCGACGAGCGCGCCGTGAGCGTGTCGGCTGGAAAGTGCCACAACCTCGCCCTCACAGCAGGCGGCAGTGTCTGGAGCTGGGGCTATGGAGGCTTTGGCGCGCTGGGCCACGGTGACCAGCAGCACCAGCTGCTGCCAAAGAAGGTCGAGGCCTTGGCGGGGCGACGCGTCGTCGCCGTGTCGGCAGGAACCAGCCACAGCCTCGCCCTCACCGCCGACGGAGCCGTCTGGAGCTGGGGCGGTGGACGCGGTGGCCGGTTGGGCCACGGCGACCAGCAGGACCAGCTGCTGCCCAAGAAGATCGAGGCCTTCGCTGGCCAGCGCGTCGTCGCCGTGTCGGCTCGAGGCGCGCATAGCCTCGCCATCACCGCCGACGGCGCCGTCTGGAGCTGGGGCTGGGGCAACTCTGGCCGCTTGGGCCATGGCGACCAGCAGAGGCAGCTGCTGCCCAAGAAGGTCGAGGCCTTGGCTGGCCAGCGCGTCGTCGCTGTGTCGGCTGGAGACGCCCACAGCCTTGCCCTCACCGCCGACGGCGGTGCCTGGAGTTGGGGCTATGGCGAATATGGCCAGTTGGGCCACAGCGACACGCAGCACCAGCTGCTGCCAACGAAGATGGAGGCCTTTGCTAGCCAGCGCGTCGTCGCTGTGTTGGCTGGAGGCGACCACAGCCTCGCCATCACTGCCGACGGCGCCGTCTGGAGCTGGGGCTACGGAAGCCAAGGTCGGTTGGGCCACGGCGACGAGCAGCAGAAGCTGCTGCCGAAGAAGGTCGAGGCCTTTGCTGACCAGCGCGTCGTCGCTGTGTCGGCTGGAACATACCACAGCATCGCCATCGCCGACGGTGCTGTCTTTACCTGGGGCGGGGGCGACGACGGCTGCCTAGGCCACGGAGAGGACCTGTCGAAGCAGCTGTTGCCCAAGAAGGTCGAGGCGTGGTCGTTGGGCCATAGCGTGTGTATGCCTGGAGACACGCTGTATGAGTCAGCTGTCACATCCCACCATGCGATGTCACATAATTCAGCTGCGAATTCTTCATTGGAAGAGGGAGAAGCGGAAGGGCCGAAATTTCTTTTCTAATTCTTTACTCGCTACGGACTTGCTCGTGCCCGCGCGCGGCCCGTGACTGTTCGTGGGCTCTAAAAGCCGACACGCCCTTGGTGCCTGTACCTGTCTGTGGCACCTCGACCCGGCCCTGAATTGGTCGCCATGACGACGAGTGCTGCCGCCACCAACTACCGCGACGGCGTCGGCCGGGCGCGAGACTTGGAAGCGATCGTCGAGTCGCACCGGTCCGAGTGGGCGGGCGCCCTGCAGGAGCAGAGGCAGCTCTCCGAGCGGCTGTCGACCTTCGCGGACGGCGAGTGGGCGGCGTGGGCGCGGTCCGAGACGGCCGCCGAGCCGCTGCCGCCGCTGCTGCGCGCGGGCATGCGGGTGCACTGGCTCCTTTGAATCGCGGTTTTTCTTTTTTGGAATTCTTTAATCCTCGTGGAGAGGAGCTACGGCCATTCCGAAGTTGCGTTCGAACATGGTCCAGCCAGTAACCGCAAGTCGCAAGAGAGGGCCCCGCGGGGAGAAGCAAATGAGAGGGAGACCCGGCGGGCGCGTCCAGTCCCACAGCGCGTGCCCCTATGCCCCCCCCCCCCCCTCCGCGCTGTTCTCCCGTGGCAATTTAAGGTTGCTCCCGGCCCAGTGGGGATTTTGGCCTACTCAGTGACCGTCTAGGGGCCCTAAATGGCCTGCAATGCCATATCTTTTGTGCCTAGCTTGTAGAGCACCTTAAAAAAGTACTTTGTCTTGGAGTGAAAAGTTTTTCGATGAGGTGGGGATCCGTGGTGAGCCGATTCCCAGATTCTCCAGATTCCCCCTCGAAAACCGCGCCTTTAAGCGCTGGTAGCGTGGGTTTACCTTACCTCACACCCATGGTCTCACAGTGTGCCGGCAGTCGCCGAGCAGTGTCGCTCACACAAGCCGCAGCACAAGTGACTGAGGGCCAGTGAGGGCGAGCCCATCGCTGTCACAGCTGTGACAGCCGCACAGTAGGCTGTGCCATCTGTGCTGAGCGTGTGAGCAGCAAGGGGAGCTGCTCTCCAGGCTTCAGGCGCAAAGAGCTGCATGCCACCGAAGGCGCTGTCGAGGTTCGCCGAGCGCGGCGCAGGTTGGAGGACACCGTCACCGACGAGCGCGTTGGACTTTTCACTCCGGACAAAGACCGCTGCACAGCGAATGGTATGGGCCGTGCAGCGGTCATAGCGGCGAGGCGCGGGACCGTCTGTGGCGAAAGTGGGTCGCGTCCTCCGATTTCCGTCAACTCACGGTCCACACCCCTTTAGCCTTTACTTCATACTTGCGTGCTGCTGATTTTTACAGAGCTCAGAGCTACCCTTTCCGTGCATCTGCAGTGCTACCCGTTTCGTAGCTACATAAACATATGGTCCCGATTCGCGCACGATAGACGAGATGCCGGGCCCCGACCTCACACATGCGCGTACACAGTGTAGCGCCTCAGGGTGAAGGGGCGACATGCCGGGTCAAGCTGAGACTGATGGTCGAGGCACCAGGGGTCGTTCTTCGCCCACAGCAGCAACTGGCAGAGCAGGCGCAACGACGCCCGCCCGACTGGGTGGCATACACAGACGGGTCGGAAGACCTAGGGAAAGCAGGGTGGGCCTATGCAGTACTCATCGGGGGCGACGCCATCGGCGATGAGGGCGCGTCGCGGGCGAGCGAGGGCTACGGGCCAGTTGTCACTTCGGCTGCGCACCCAGCCTACCTCGGCGCGCGTAAGCATACTAACAACACGGCGGAACTAACCGCCCTAGCCGAGCTCCTCCGGGCTCTCCTATCATCGTCACCGCAACGAGCGGGCTCACGCGGAGTAGTGCGCACCGATAGCGAGTACGCGGCGGCATGCATGATGGGGCGGGTGACCCCCAAAACGAACAGACAGCTGGCGGAGCGCCTTCGTTCGATCGTTCCCTCTGGCAACGCCTTCGCGCCAAACACACCGTGACGTGGAGGCATGTGGAGGGTCACAGCGGCAACAAATGGAACGACTACGTCGACGAGCTAGCTGCTCGCGGCAGGCGGGGTGACAGAGGCTCAAACGCTGCCGAGTGGGCGGACGACACCATCCCGACGGACACTCCCGACGAGGAAAGCAACGCGGAGGGGGGCGACAGCAGTACCACTGGACACGGAGCAACAGGCGGTGGCCAGGACTCGGAGAGGGAAGAGGATAGCGACGCCGACTGTGGACCTGCTACACCAACGGCTACAACCCCAGCTAGCCCCGTCAGCCACCACTCACCCGCCACCGACCCTGAAGCCGCACCCGTGCTAACCCTCGCCGTGCCCCCCGAGTTCGAGCGAGATGGTCCGAGTACGTGCCGAGCGAGCAGGCAAGGGAGATCGGAGACGATCGGGGAGCGCGGTGCGTACTTACCCTCGATGTTGACCTTCCCCCACCACCACTCTCCCCGGACGGCGCCGCTCTCGCATCTGCTATGGTCTCTGCGCGTCTCCTTGTGCCCCTTCCCGTACTGCGCCGTGCACCCCGCCAGTTCCTCCCTGAAGAGAGGGATGGCCTCGCTGAGCTTTCCTTGCTCCCGTAGCAGCGAGCCGAGCCCGTACACAAAGCTGAGTGTGCTCGGGTGCTTGGCGCCGAGCGCCTCCCGGTACCCATCGAGCGCCTCACGGCAGAGCACCGCCGCGCCGTCCAGGTCGCCCCTGGCATACTTCAGCGCGCTGAGGTTGTTGATCGAGGTGAGCGTCTTGGGATGCCGGTCGCCGAGCGTGGCTCGGCACCCCGTCAGCGCCTCGCCGAGCAGGGCCTCCGCGCCATCCAGGTCCCCCTTCTCCTGCAGCAGCTGGCCGGTCCAGGCAATAGATGCGAGCGTGCTCGGGTGCTGGTCGCCGAGAATCGCGCGCTTTCCCGCCAGCGCCTCTTTGAGCAGCGCCTCCGCGCCTTCCAAGTCGCCCTTGTCCTTGCGCAGCCCTCCGAGGCACGCGATCGAGGTGAGCGTGCTCGGGTGCCGGTCGCCGAGCTTCTCGTAGCACTCCTCAAGCGCCTTGCGAAGCAGCGGCTCTGCGCCGTCCAGGTCGCCCTGGTCTATCATGAGCATGGGGATAGCGAGCGCCGCGGCGATGCTCTTGACGGATGCCTGGTCCGGCGTGAAGCCCTCGGTGGCATTTGATGCGCCAGAGGAGCCTTGCGGCTCAGCCTCGGTTGGGCTTTGCGTGTGCTTTGCGTGGCTGTGATCGTGCGGCTCGGCGTGGCAGTGGTCGTGCGGCTCTGGGCAAGGCGTCCCAGAGCTTGCGGTAGTTCGAGGTGCGGGCTCCGCCGCCTTCCCTAGCCCCTTCCTGGCTAGCAGCTCGTCCGCCTTGGCGGCAACGACAGCCGCCTTTGTGCTCACCTTTGCGTCTGCTTTCGCGGCTGCCTTTGTGTCAGCCTTTGCATCAACCTTGGGGTCTGCATTGGACGCTGCCTTGACCGCCGCGGGCTCAGGCTTCTTCTTCTTGGAGAAGAGGCCCATAACGTCGCTTGTGCGTCTCTCTCTCTCTCGCTTGTGTCGTCGGTCGGTCGAGGCTTACTTATGGCCAATTCGTGCGAATTGGCGCGGTCTAGTACTCGAGTAAAACGAGCGCTGTGGACGACCAGCTCATTCTACAGCTGTTTGACTTTTTTTAGTGTATGTAGCTCTTAGCAACCAGTTTTTTTTATTTTTTGAGAGCGCCTTCGTTGTTAATAATACAAGCCCAATGGTCCCTTTCGAGCGGTCCCCTGTCGCAGTACAACGAGTTTTTTATTTGCGATTTTTTTACTGTTTTCGGTCGCTCCCGATGCTCCAGCTGGCCGCTCGGTGCACCACCGGCACGCGGCGCGCGAGCAGCCTCGGCTGCCAACGCAGAGCGCTGTGCTCGAAGCCTCCAGACTCGGCCCCTCCCTCCAAAGTGGCGGCGGGCCTCGCCGGCCTCGCCGGCGGCGGCCTCGGCTCCCTCGTCGGCATTGGCGGCGGCGCTGTGATGGTGCCTCTCATGACGGCGTACGCTCGCATGAGCCAGCACCAGGCGGTGGGCACCTCGTCGGCGGCGGTGGCGGGCGTCGGCCTCTCCGGCATGGCCTCCTTCGGCTCCGCCGGCGCGGTCGACCTCCTCGCCTCCGCGGCGCTCGCGTCCACCGCGATGCTGACCGCCCGGTTCGGTGCGCGATTTACGGGCAAGTTCAACCCGGTGCAGCTGCAGCGCGCGTTCGCGGCCTTCCAGCTGGCCGTCGCGCCCATGGTCCCGCTCAAGGGTGCCCTCGTCCGCAGCAGCAAGCAGAGCCCCGGCGATGGCGTAGGAGGAGGAGGCGGCGGAGGAGGCGGCTCAGAGGCCGCCGCGCCGGCTCCCTCCTCCACGGCGCTGTCGCCGGAGCGGCAGCGGGAGCTGCTGCAGCTCGCCGCGGTCGGCGCCGCGGCCGGCTTCGCCTCGGGCATGTTTGGCATCGGCGGCGGCGTCGTCATCACGCCGGCGCTCTGCCTGCTGACTGACATGCCGCACACTTGCGTGCTCGGCACCACGCTCGCGTCGATGGTGCCTCCCTCGCTCGTCTCGGCCGCCACGCACGCGCAGATGGGCAACGTGGTCGCCGCGGCCGTCGCCCCGCTCGTCGCCGGCTCTGCGATCGGCGCCTTTGCGACGGCGCAGCTCGCGTTGCAGATGCCCGAGGAGCCGCTGCAGTGGGGCTTCGCGCTCTTCCTGGTCGCGATGGGAGGGCACAAGCTCTACTCGCTCCGCGGCAGGGTGTGACGGGCGAGAGACGGGTCCCAGGCCGCCCTCAGCAAACATGCAATCTGTTCGAGCTGCCACGGCGGCGACGGCCCACCGCTGACCGGCGACCGCGCGGTCCGCGGACGGAGGGCGCCGCGCGCCCGGGGCGCCGGCAGTCGGGCGGCTGATAGCGGTTCGCGTGGCAGCTTCTCGAGTTATTTTATATACCATCAGCCTCTCGCGGAGAAGTTCAGTTTCCGATGAGTCGACGCGTGCGAAAACACACCCGTTTCACACGCAACACAGGTACACCGAAAATATCGGAACAATGCGTTCGATCATCCCTTCACCCGCAGCTCCGGCAGCAGCACCGCAGGCACACCCGCAGCACCAACAGGTGCAGCAACCCCAGCCCAACGAGTCGCCCGAGGGGTGGACCAGGGTTGGGAAGGGCGGCATGCCGGACAGGTTCACCATGAGGAACCATGGCCGCAAGCCGCCGGGCAAGGCGGTCAAGCGCAAGCCTGACCGCCAGCCCGCACCCAAGGGAGGTGGACCCCCACCCCCCTCTCCCAAGGTGAACAAGAACAGGCTGAGCGCGCTGGCGCTGGCCCTTCTGGCACCAGCGGGAGCCACGAGCGCGCACCGCCGCGCTCCCCCTCCCCCTCCTCGCCGCCTGCCAAATCACCGCGGCCGTCTGCGCCTGCTTCCGAGTATGACTCCGAGCTCGACCAATACTTTTCCGACGCCGAGGCGCGGGATAGGGTGGCAGGGGTTGTACACGACGCAGTGCAGCAGGCTGTGATGCAATACGGCTATGACGACAGGCTCTTCCAGGATTGGAGGGACGGCAAGATAGGCGAAAAGGACTTGCCGGAGGAGGTGATGGCTATGACTTTGGACCTTTGCGAGAGGTGGCGAGCGGAGCAAGAGCGGTGTAGGCGCGTCCACGCGGCGCAGCGGCTCTCCCGCGACCCCGGCCCCTCTCGTAGCCGCAGCCGTAGCCGCAGCCCCATCTCTTGCCGCTCTTCCGTGTCGGGTTGTGACGAGGGGTGCTGAGGGGACACGGATTGAAGATCCCTCACACCAAGATCGTGCAGGGCGGGGACACACGTCCCTAAATCCCATCTCGTCTCAGAGTTTGACCGTTTTCTTTATTTATTTATCCCTTCACCCCAACTTCCCTTCTATCGCCAGCAGCGCTCTCCTCTATGGCCCATGCGCCCACGCCTCGACCTTCTTGGGCAGCAGCTGGTTCGACCGGTCCTCTCCGTGGCCTAGGCAGCCGGTCTCGCCCTCGCCCCAGGTAAAGACGGCACCGTCGGCGGTGATGGCGAGGCTGTGGCCGAGTCCAGCCGACACAGCGACGACGCGTTGGTCGGCAAAGGCCTCGACCTTCTTCGGCAGCAGCTGGTCCTGCTCGTCGCCGTGGCCCAGCGCGCCCCAGCCTCCCATTCCCCAGCTTAAGACGGCTCCGTCAGCGGTGAGGGCGAGGCTGTGTTCGCCCCCAGCCAACACGCCGACGACGCGCCGCCCAGCTAAGGCCTCGACCTTCTTGGGCAGCAGCTGGTTCTGCCTGTCGCTCCCGTGGCCCAGCTTGCCGTAGTCTCCATCGCCCCAGCTCCAAACCGAGCCATCGGCGGTGAGGGCGAGGCTGTGGTACGCTCCAGCCGACACAGCGACGACGTGCTGGCCTGCCAAGGCCTCGACCTTCTTCGGCAGCAGCTGGAGCTGCACGTCGCCGTGGCCCAACCGGCCAAAGCCTCCCCGACCCCAGCTCCAGACAGCTCCGTCGGCGGTGATGGCGATGCTGTGGCTGCCTCCAGCCGACACGGCGACGACGCGCCGCCCAGCTAAGGCCTCGACCTTCTTGGGCAGCAGCTGCTGCCGCGTGTCGCCGTGGCCCAGCGCGCCCAAGCCTCCCTGGCCCCAGCTCCAAACAGCGCCATCGGCGGTGATGGCGAGGCTGTGGAAGTCTCCAGCCGCGACGGCGACGACTCGCTGGTCAGCCAAGGCCTCGACCTTCTTCGGCAGCGGCTGGTCCTGCTCGTCGCCGTGGCCCAGCTGGCCAAGGTATCCCCGGCCCCAGCTCCAAACGGCGCCGCTGCCGGTGAGGGCGAGGCTGTGGTATCCTCCAGCCGACACGCTCACGGCGCGCTCGCCCAACGTCGACGGGAGGCGGGTCGGCGTGTTGAGCTGCGTCACGCCCTCGCCGTGGCCAAGGAGGCCTGGGTCGTGATTCGCACTGCCGCACGACGAGAGCCGCCCCTCGCCGACGATGAAAACGCTGTGGGAGGAGCCTGCCGCCGCCCGCGCCGGCGGGTTGGACTCGCATAGCAACGCGGAATAGCACAGCCACCGCACGGCGCAGCTCTCGCCCTCGGGCAGCGCCGGCAGCTCGAAGCCGCGCTCTTGCGCCCACAAGCGGATGCCCTCTAGCGCGAGTGAGGCGTGGAAGAGCAGCGAGACGGCCGCGACGCGAGCGATGTCGAGGGGGCTGTGGCAGCGAGAGAAGACGCGCACGAGGAGCTCCGTGGGGAGGTCGAGGAGGCGGGCGGGCGGCGGCGTGTCTGGCGAGGGAGCGGCGATGGAGGCGGGGGCGAGGCGGCGCGAGCGGCGGCGGGTGGACATCGCGAGGAAAAGAATTTTAGGATGCAAAGAAAAACATAATTGCGGGTGGGCGACGGCTAGCGCACCACACCCCTCTCCTTAAAATCCCTGTGTGGTGGCGGCGTGCCGTTCTCCCATCCCTCCCTTGGCTTGTCTGTTTTCTTTCTTTTCTTCGGCAGAATTGCGGCATTTATCGCGAAACTCTTCTTGGGAGCACAGCAGCAGTTTTGGGGCGGCTACGCACGAGTAACTCACGGACCGAACTCCGCGCCGGACGCTGTATACGGCTCAGTCTCGACGCTCAGCAGCCGCAGCTGCAGCAGCAGCTCCTTGTCCACTGAGGCGCCGCGCATCAGCGCCTATGGTGAGGTGAGGTGAGGTAAGGGCATGTCAGGCGGACTTGTTGACACCCCCCTCCTTCTCATGACTCTCCTCTCCTCTCCTCTCCTCTCCTCTCCCCTCCTCTCCCCATGTCCCCCCCCCCCCCTCGTCGCCTGCTCCAGCGCCAGCTTCGTGTCTCGCACCGCCTCTGCGAAGCGCACCTTCGTCACCGGCGCCGAGAGCGCCAGCTGCTGCTCGTAGATCTCGAGCCGCTGCAGCTTGCCCGCCGTGTGCAGGAGCCTGGTGCGGGGGGGCGGAGGGAGCGGAGGTGCGGAGGGGGCGGAGGTGCGGAGGTGCGGAGGGGTGGGCGGGCGGAGGGGCGGGCGGGCGGAGGGGCGGAGGGGCGGAGGGGAGGAGGGGCGGGGGCTTCCCTGTCTCCCAATATCTCCTCATATCTCCCCATATCTCTCCAGATCTCCCCAGATCTCCCCAGATCTCGCGCACCTCGTCAAGAGGCGCACCTCGGGCTTCCCCTCCTCCACCTTTGCACACGCGCGCGCCACCACCAGCTCGAGCAGCTCGAGCAGCCTGCCGTTCTTCCGCTCGACCTGCTGGCACACCTCCCACTCCAGGTGGCTAAAGTAGCCGCCGTCGAGCAGGCCCGCCTCCGCCATCTCCCCGAGGCGCTCCTCCAGCGCCCCTCCGCCCGACTTTGCGGCCGCCAGCAGCCTCTCCAGCCCGAACCGTCCTCGCGCCCGCTCCACCTCCGTCGCGTTGGCGCCGGCCGAAGGCAGCCGCGACGCGGCGCCAGGCGCATCCGCGCCAGGCGCACCCGTGCTAGATGCCGCCGGCGCCGCCTCGGCGCCTCCCAAGGTCCCGGGCTCGGTGGCTGGCGGCGTCTCCTGGTTGGCCTGCGAAGCGGCGACAGCGGCCTCCCGCTCCTGCTCGGACCACCGCTCGAATTCGGGCTGCACCCTCTGCACGCCCTCCGCGACCTCCTCGCCGAACGCAAAGACGGAGCTGCGCAGTTGCTCGAGAGACTCGCGATCGGCGCCGGCCGCCGAGGCGACGGAGGCCTCCAGATCGACCAGAAAGCCCTGGGAGAGGATCGCGTCGATGTTCCGTCCCAGGAGTGACGGCAGCTCCTCTGCGGAGGTCTTCAGCAGCTGGGCGATGAGCGAGGCGTGGGCGCCGGGCGGACCCATGAGCAGCAAGGCGCGCCGTGGAGGCGGCGATCGTACGACGGCCGGGCGGAGAGGCGATCGGAGAGGGGCGAGGAGGGGGACGAGGTAGATGAGCAGGAGGACCGGGGCGGTCATTGAGGTTGTGAGCTGAGCAAAAGGACGCGACGCGCGCGTGTAAGATCTGTGCCAGGGTGAGCGGCTGCAGAAGAAAATGGAGCACGTGCGCAGCTATGAACAGGAGCGAGTTGTCATCCCTCCCTTGGGTTGTCTGTTTTCTTTCTTTCTTTAGGAGCGAGTTGTGTGTTTTCTTTCTTTCTTTTAGGAGCGAGTTCGCGCTGCGCTAGGCTCAGACGGCGTGTTCGCGCTGCGCTAGGCTCAGTACGGCGAGTTCGCGCTCTGCACCGCTACTCCGCTAGCGGCAGGCTCTCTTGCGGAGAATTTATCTCTCGGCTGCGTTGGCTCGCCAAAGTCTTTGTTCTCGATGGCGCTGGGTCCGCTGACTGGGGCGGGCGTGGGTGTGCGTGTTTTGTAGAGAAGCAAAAACGCACGTCGTCCGGGGTCTGTCGTGTGCGTCGAGAGCGTGCGGGCGGAGAGAGGCGAGGCTGAGCCTGTGGCGAGAGCTAAGACAGAGCAGTGCGAGAGTTACACATGCTCAAGTATGTCTGGTTCCGGGACCTCACCAAGGGACAGTGGGAGGACGGCAAGCCGACGGAGCAGAACCCTGTCGGCAAGCTCTGCGATCGGGCGGCGAAGACGGTCGGCTCGCTCAAGCTCTTCGGGGTGGCTCCTCAGCACTGCCGCCCAGCCCCGCTCTATGCCGGTCTTATCCCCCAACAGGCACACGGACGGAGTGTGACGCTGACTTGCTCCCTCCACTCCGCTCGGCAGGCCTGCACTCCGCTCGGCAAGCCGCTGGGCAACGGCCTGGTGGAGGTCTCGGTCGGCCCGCAGTCGAGCCCGCTGGTCTACGTCTCGGTGCTCAAGCCCGGCATGGGCCTTGTGACAGGGCAGGTTCTCGGGCCGGTGGCAGGCTTCACTCAGAACCAGGACGGCGAGGTGGTGGGCCTAAACGTCGACAAAACTAAGATTGTCTACCCGGATCCGCCCTTCACCTCCTACGGCAACACCTTCCCCTACATCATCCCCAACGGCGCGCAGCCGCTTTAGACAACGCCGGGACGATGGTTCGATTGCCTTCGATGGGACCGATGCATACACACATATTCCATATGTGAGACGTCGGCGAGGTCGTTCAGCTTCAGGCTAGACGGGAGAGAGAGAGATATTGGTCGCCGAACGGACGTTGCCCCGCCGTGGCCCGTGCGTAAAACGAGAGACAACATGCCTCAGATTAGAACTTACAGGAGCACAAAACTGCAAATACAGTACGTCTCGGAAAGTGCGGTGGCTGGTCGCGCGCCGGCGCGGCGTCGCATCTCGAACCGTTAACCCCGCGCGACCTGAAGCCTACTGCCCCAAGCCAGCGCGTCGGCGCGCCTCTAAGGCGCTGCCCCGCCCACACCCGACGCCAGCGCGAGCCGCCGCGCGGTTGGTGACGTGGCGCGCCTCTCCACGCGCAGCCCGCGGCTCCCGAGCGGGCCGCGCTGCTGCGACAGCTGCTGCACAGACGGACCAGAGACAGCGTGGCGATGGCATCGGCGCGGCGAGGCACAAGCGGCGCGGCGCCTGGCCGGCCGCCGCACGGAGACTCCGACCCTCACTTCCACTCTTGCGAGCCTACCGCGTGGACACGCGAGGGTCAGGCCGGAGACACGATCTCGTGCAGTGTAGCGCTCTCTCACTCGCGCTCTCTCGCTCTCGCTCTCTCTCGCTCTCTCGCTCTCTCTCTCTCTCTCTCTCTCTCACTCTCTCTCTCTCTCTCTCTCTCTCTCTCTCTCTCTCTCTCTCTCTCTCTCTCTCTCCTCTGGAGCGTCGCGTCTAGAGCCGCGAACCGGGGATGGTGATGTTGATGCCCGCCTGCGCCCAGATGTCCTTCCCGTTCACCCGCATCTCGATCTTGCCGCCCGTGTACCAGCCCTTGCCGCCGCTGCTAAACTCGCGCGGGTCGGCGGTGAGCTTGTTGCCGTTGATCTGGAGGGGCGCGGGGCGGGCGGGGGAAGGGAGGGACGTGGGAAGTGCTGGGGTGAGCGGGTGGGGCTCCCCAGGGCCACAGACCGGGCCGTCTCAACTACGACAAACGTGCTCTTTAGACGCCATGCCCGCCATCGGTTGGCCAAGAAT